ACTACCAGGTCCCGTCGGTGCAAGCAAATCACAGTGTCTGATTTGATTGCGGGTATACAGTAAGTGGAAGTCAACTATGAGATGTGATTTTCTCAGCTAAAAGTTCAGCACATGAAATCAGGCCAAGAACAACCTTTTCCAAGATGTTTTTACGTTTCTCTGAAGGCTGTTGGTATGAAATATTCTTATATTTGTTGTATTCTTGTGTGCACTGATATTCTCTTTCCTCAAGGGTTATTAAACATCATATTATAAGAGGGAATCTTTGTAGTTGCCCCACACATTGTAAGTGTACGTAAACAATAACCAGCTGCATTTTGACTCCAGCCTCCTGACATTTGCACCCGTCCCACAGTGTAAAGCCTCCAATATCAACTTCAACTTTTGTCATTTGGTTGTAAAAAGCTGCAGGATGGAATGAGGTAGGAGTGCCAACAACATAAATCCAAGCTCAAATATGTCTTTATGTAGCAGCTCTATTGTTTCGTTAAGTTAAGACTGGGCTCTATTTTGAGTGTACTGATTGTTTGTGTAAAAACAAAAGCTAATCTGAATCGGTCTTCCCTTAGGCAGCTGCTGTGCTGACAGCCAAACACTGGGATGTTAACTTTATAATGTCCCTCATTCTGTTGGTAAACTATTCTGGGTGTCAATATTGTGTGGCAGGGAGTCAGCAAACACCCCAGAATGCATGTATATACTATACACGGTATATGTTTGTATTTATACTATGTGTGTACTTCTCAAATCCCAGTCCCAGGCTGAAAAAAATCACATGTCAAGGTGCTCCAGGGGTGTGCATACATCTTTAATTCCTGTTAAAGGACATGCAGTAATATTTACCCAGCATGCATGTCTGATGACAGCCCCTAAAGTAAACAGTAGGAGGCAGCGAGGAGACAAGAGAACCCCTATTGTTGAGCTATAGAATTTAAACGAGCACCACAGTTGCATTGTTCCTTTACTATGATAACATGGGTGGTGAACTTTATTTAGAGTCAATCCCACATACACTCTTGTGGTCCCACATTACTGTGCAACTAAAGGTAGTCATTGACAAATACAGCTTTCTTCAGCTACAGTGCCCAGCTGCTTTAAAAAAATATTGAAGCTTTTAAAACATATTTGTCACCCATTTTAAACATTCACATCTTCTTTGGGAACAACTGTGACTGAAGCTGAGTGCAGCCCGCGGGTAGGGCAGGGAAGTACTGAGAGACTGAGAGACAGGCTTGTTTTGGGTTTGGTCTTTTCATGGGATCTGTTGGCATTAAGAAAAATCACGTTGCATTTCTGATATCATCTCATCTCTGTCACAGAGGAGGTGAAAATGCCAGTCAGTGGAATGGGAGAAATGTCAGTTTTCTGGGAGTTTTGTTTTTGTTTTCTTCTCCAAACCTGATAGACTGAGTTTGGACTGTGAAATCTAGAGAGCATTGAATAAGGGAAACACCGTTATTGATCAGTACTTTCAAGCTCCTTGAAAGTGAGGTCTGCAATACGGTAAATGTGTGTAGTGATACAGGAGTAAAGAAGATCATTAAGACATGAGCTGAGCTTTATTGAACAATTAGTTACATTTTACACACACAACTAACAATACTGACAGTGATTCTTGTGGGGGGGAAAATATGTTTCACCTACTTTCTGTCCTAGTGAACCATCACAGAACATTTCTTTCCAAACATGGCATCTTAAACACAGTGAAATAAGCAGATCCAGAAGTCTTCATTTTTCTAGCACTAGTCTGAAGATTCTGAGTTCATGAAAGGGTGAAGTAGCAGAAGATCAGGGACAGCTGTTTGTCCTTGCTCTTTGTAGATGTTCTGTAGTAAAATCCAAAAATTGCCCCGTGAGAGAAGATGTGATATGATACATACGTATGAACTCACACCAACAGGAACTCGTGCTCTGTTTCTCATACTCCCGCTGCGCAGTTGTACGTCTCCAGACATGTTACATGATTGATGCATTTTTAATTTCATCAGTGCAAATCTGTGTTTTAGCCGGTCCATTAAAGTAGTCAGCGCTGTCAGATTTACATACTGCATTACATATGGATCTGTCAATTAGAAGCCAAATGGCATGCAGCCTTGCATTTTAACGACATGGAATAATTTGCAAGTTCAGCAAGAGTGTAGAAATCTGTGAAAAGATATGAGGTTGTGTTAGACCACTGATGTGTCCTGAGAGAGCTCTGTGGTTGTGATGCTGCTGGTTCAACAGCAGTAATTGTTTAGTTAAGCAGTAATATGGATCCTGTTTAATATTTCACTTATTACAGAGATAGCCCGATCTATTGCCCAGCAAAAACACGAGCCAGCAAAAAAGAAGGAGCTTGAGTGAAATTGACTGAATTGAAATAAAGTCGATTACCCAAATGCTGTCTCACTGCCACAAAGTATTCAACAAACACCCAACAGAATAAAGTTGGAATATAATTGGCCCCCAAACAGTAGTGCCCTTAATTTCCAACCTCTTTTTTCTTTTATGTTTTTTTACATATGGAAATGCATGTAAAAAAAAACTGTTTAGTAAAACTTTGTGCATGAAGCATTCAGATCCCTTAAATAAATGAGACATTTCTGTTTAAAACATACTTCTTTAAGAGTTCTGCATTCAGATTTAAGTAAAAGTGTAGAAGTATTAGCAGCAAAGGGTATCTTAACATGTAAACTGCATTTAGATGTCACAGCTGGTCTGTAAGAATGTATCATGTTTCTTAAACTGTTCAGAGGTTTTGTTTATAAAGCTCTGACCTGCAAAGTCACTTGTCAGATAAGTGTAGTGGAGTAAAATGTACAATATTTCCATATAAGTACAAAGAAGAAATAAATTAATAAAACCTGAATACTGTTGTAAAGTACAAATATTCAGAATTTAATTATATCAGTACTAGAGTGAATATCCTAAGCTGCTTTCTACCACAGATGGGAGTAGACATGGCTTGCATGTTCCTCAAAACAGGAAGTAAAAGTTATATTTAACAGTGAAAATCCTTGACAACTTCATATGAACATGTTGACCAGCTGCAGATAATGATGATGTTGGAGGCTGTGTGGGAATTTGGAGCACTTTGGTTTGCCAGTCTGCCCATACTATGGGAATCAAAGCCAAATGACAGTTGTAGTGTTACACCTCCCACTTTGCCTATGAAAACTTTCAGTTTCATTGGGGCTATACTTCCAGGCTTATGTACATATTCATTTATTCTCACATATGAAGAATTCCCAAGCTAATTATGCATGGTTTTTCATATTTATGAGAATCCTGCTAGCACAGGTTTAGTACATTTCCACTTGGCCACTTACTGTACATCTGCTTTTGTGTGGGCTGGAGTTGACTATATGTGTGTCTGCTTGTCCTCCAACATAACGTGTGTTGCCCCTTCCTTAACCTCAGGCCCAGCCCAGCTTCTCGGGAGTCATTCCCTGGAAAGGCATGACAGAGCCCCAGTGTTTGGAAATGGCTGCGCTGGCAGCGATAAGCAGTTCAAAGAAGAGAGCACATTAATGTAATTGGCTGCCAGCAGCACATCGGCCTTGTCGTTTCATATCCACACGCAGTAACACACACTCACCACGCGGATTATTGGAGGAGGAATGTGTGAGAGGGGAGAGAGGATAGAGAGGATGAGAATGAGAGAATGGGGAAAAGAGATGAAGGAAAGGACAGAGAGAGAGGATGAGGAGGAGTCGGGGTCCTCATTGTGTCGATCATTAAGCCGTGGGAGGCTCAAAGAGGCTGAGAAATGAGATGAGATGAGAGGTGTCCGAGTTAAATGTCAGGTCTGGAAGGGACGTGGCTGAACTCCACTGAAGTACACACACACACACACACACAGATGAAGAAGGGATCCTCTTCCAAAACCTCTGCCTAAAATTCTCCCCTCAACTCCACCCCTCCTCCTCAATCTAACCCCTGTCTCTCGACCACTCACCTAGTTTCCCCTTCTTTTTCTGCCCATTACACCCAAATTACTGGTGTTGTTGTAAATGGAATTGTTGTAGTATTCAGAAGTTTTGCTGAATACTGCTACCTAGTGAAGTGGAAGTGAAGGCTATTTCCTTCGGCTAATTTCAAAGTCTGTGTGATGGTAGGAGAATGCCGGGTAGCTTCCTCCACTGTTATGAAATGTTTTTCACCAAAGGCTGTGAGCGGCTTTGAAGTTAGAGTCTTGCCCTTGTATTTCAAACAATCTCCTCTTCTGTCTCTCCCTGTGAGTTCTCTGTGAGCACTTTTCACCCCACTTTCTATTTATTTTTGTCTTTTGCTGCTTCTCAGGGTTACAATTGCAAGGAGTACGGTTTTGAATTTTATAACATTAAAAACACTAGAAGGCGGTGGTTGGGGCGGATGAATGTTTCGAACAAACACCTGACTCTGACTTTCATGCAGAGAACCGGAGGTCGTACCCTGCGTGTGATGCTGTGTTTTAAGTGTCTTGCGTGTTTTGACAGATCCCAGGGTCTTTTCCTAACCTTACCCATCTTGTTTGTGTGCCTAAACTTAACCATGTAGTGTACTTTTTGTGCCTAAACATAACCATTTTTTCGGTTTCAGTTTTTGATGGAGAAAAACATTGCTCTGTCACAATCTTCTAGGTGTAACTGCGAGACTGGACTAGTGAAGCTATTATATATTTTGCTGTGACACTGGGTTGTTCAGTCAACGAAAACAGAGCTTCATACTAAAGATTTACACTATTCAGTTTGTGCATTCTTTTATACTGGGTCTTTCTTGTGTTTGCTACAGTTATTGCATTAAGAGAATTCAAGGAATTTTATTAGCCCTGTTTTATGTACATGATTTGATGTTTTATATGTAGTGTGGTTATTTTTACATTTTTTCCTCAATGTATGATGTATCTATCATTCTGTAGTTTTTTGACTTTCAGGTTGATACCTTGTACAAAAAAAATGATGATATGATAGTGATGATTATGTGATCCTTAACATTATCACCACAATAATAAAGCACTAATGTTTGTCTGTTTCTAGGTCAACCCTTCAAGTTGGACCCAAAGACGGCACACAAGAAGCTCCGCCTATCCAACGACTGTCTGACCATGGAGAAGGATGAGAGCTCACTGAAGAAGAGCCACACCCCGGAGCGATTCAGTGGCACAGGTTCTTATGGAGCAGCTGGTAATGTTTTCATTGACAGTGGGTGCCACTACTGGGAGGTGCTGCTGGGAGCATCTACGTGGTAAGAAATACACACACACACACGAGTGCATTACATAAGACTGCAAGGAGGCTTGGTAAACTGAAATATATTTCTTTAGGGAGTTTAAATCTAGGCTGTTATGTAAACTGACACACACTCCCCACACACAGAGTATGCTCTTATCCTAATTATATTCTTTTCATTAATTGGCTCTGCATGCAAGAAAAACCCAAAGGGCTTGTGCCTATCTTGTGCGCCCTCAGCATGAAGTAGTTTGACTGTGCAACTAAAGGAGGACACTAGTTTCTGATTACTAATGCATTCCAAAATGTTCCTTCCCTGCAGGTATGCCATTGGCGTGGCTTACAAATCAGCCCCAAAAAACGAATGGAGCGGCAAGAACTCATCCTCATGGGTCTTCTCACGCTGCAACAATAACTTTATGGTGCGTCACGATGGCAAGGAGATGCTGGTGGAGGCAAGCTTGCAGCTGAGGCGGCTGGGTGTTCTGCTAGACTACGACAACAATTCACTGTCCTTCTATGATGCTATGAATTCCCAGCACATTCACACTTTTGAAATTTCCTTCCTCCTGCCCGTGGTACCCACTTTCATGATCTGGAACAAGTCAGTCATGATACTCTCAGGGCTACCTGTCCCTGACTTTGTCGATGTCTTGGCCTCAGATCATCAAGAGCAGCAACAGCAGCAGATGGGCCTATGCCGACAAGAGTCACCATACTTGACTGGAATGAAGACCTGCCACTGAGAATGGCCCAACGACAGCCAAGCAGAGTCCACTCTGGCCCAGTAACTGAAAAGTTGATTGGGAGCTGAAAGGCATTGCCAGTCTAAAAGAGTCCTGCTCTAACTCTCATTACGAGTAAACTTGTTACTTTCTTATGGATTTAGAAAGTAATCGAAATATGCACACGAGTCTGGAAAATGTCAGCCCTGTTAGTTTGTAGACATCAAATGCTTTGTAAATCCATCAGTGGGAACCCATCAATGGGAACAAGGTCTCTTGACTGTGAACATCAGCAGGCCTAGAATTCATCTGATGTCCTGGAGGACAGGAGCTTTGGTCTGTCACTGGGCAGGACAGGATCTTGACCATTTAAGGTCTTCCGTTTCGATTTATTTTCCACTTGATTTGACCATAGGTAGAAGACCAAGGAGGGAATGCTCCCATCATCTATTTAGAGTTTGAAGTATAGCATGAACAGTTAGAGTAGGACTAAATGTCTCGTCTGAAGCAGATTAAATCAAATCACAACAATAGAAGCATCTGATAAAAGACTCAAATTCTGTCACAATAAGATTAGGTCAATTTGACACATTTCGGATGTAATCAGAATTAGCCATCAAAGAAATTGAATTCTTGGAAGACACACTTATGGAGTTTGCTTTCTTGGTGAAACTTGGATGACAATGAGTTTGCTCTCATGGCTGTATGCTAAATAGGAAGCTAGAGACACCAGCTGGGTTAGCTTAGTGCAGCATAAAGACTGGAAGGACCAGCTTCCTGTAAAACCATAAAGTCAAGTCAGTTTTATGTTTGCCTTTTTCCTATGGATGAAACAAACAAGATATAACATATTTTATGAGCTTTAGAGGTGTTTCTATTGTTTCTAGTCTTAAGGGCTTTTCAAACTTTCTATGTACCTTCAAACAGATGCGGAAACAGACAAAAGATGCACACACATTCCTATTCATACCTCAAATTGAAGGTCTACTTCTGTCCATGTGCCAGCGTTTTCCAAGTATTGCAGTACATACGAAGTTAGGGCTTTTTGTTGTGCAGGCGGTCCATGCAGAAAGAATACATTTCTGGCATTGTGCACCTGGGAAGATGATGAAATTTACATCACTGGACCATAGTAGGCACATGGACATGGAAACTATGAATTGGCCTTTAGTTCTATGTTAAGCTAACCACCTGCTGGTTCTCATCTCAAATTCTATGTACTAGATATAAATCTTACCACACAACTCTGAGCAAAAAAAAATAATAGGTGTATGTCTCAAAATACTTATTCTGTTAATTGTAGATGTGTCTTGTATGTGGCCACTTTACCGTGTGAGACAGATGCTATCGTCTTGCTAAAGCAAAAACATGTTATCCTTAGTCTTCTTCTGTTGCATTACAGCAAGGTGCATTACCAGCCTTTGTGTCACTGTTTATGCGTTGTTCAGGAGCTGTAAGTGGTCTTTGCTAACGTCTTTGCCTTGGTCTTCTTCCTAGATTTGACTCAGCCTTGTTTGAATTGGCAGATCACAGCTTCCAAGTTTCAGGAGGTGTTAACGCTGCCCGCAGTTATTAACAAGATCACAGGGGGTAGATTTGCATCATGTGTCCGTTTGACTTGTATGATAAGGGGTTTACTGAATTCTAGAGGAAAAAGTGTTATTTATGACAAAAAAGATGGCTTACTTTTATCATTAATCTCAACATACTCATGTTGCACTTTTTAATTAACACTATTTCCCATCTTCAAGTAGATGGAGTTGAGTGGCAGGGATGAAATGGGAAGGGAAAGTGTCAACAAGATGGTTGTGTTCACTCACGTGAAAAATTAAAATATCTTATTTTCCTATTTCCAAAATAATTTATGGTTACTCATTAATCATGATTAACCAGATATTACCAAAACAACTTTATTGCAATAAAACACTGTTAAGTAATAACACTTAATCTGATCATTCAAAGCACTTAGCAATAAACTAGAAGTCCCTGCTGCAAATGGAAATATCTTTGAACACAACCAGTGACTTTCCCTCCCTACTGGTCTTCTCAATAGCATATAGTATGATTATGGTGAGGATTATGTGATTTTTATCACAGTGACATAATGGCAAACTATGTTTAAAGCTGTTTTAAAAACATTCACTCTGTTTTTGACTATT